CCTGCACCCCAACCCCCAGCCTGCTCCTGCACCCTAACTCCCGCCCAGACCCTGCATCCCCAGCCCTGTTCTCAGTGCACCCCCACCCTCAGCTTGGTGGAGAGAGAGACAAAGAGAATGGGCTAGAACCAGGGAGAAGGTAGGTACCCACTCTATGTGGTCAGGGGTGTGTGTGTGCAATCCTGTTTACCCCCTCCCCAGCCCTGCTGCCCTTGCAGTTTACCCCCAGCCCCTCCCTTGTTCCAAGGACCAACCCTAGCTCCCACCCCACTGTGTTTTTGCCCCCCAGCCCCTGCCTTGCTCCAGTCAGCAGGGACTAATTCTCCCCCCATGCCTCACTGTAATCATCTTGCCCCGCTCCAGCTGGGGACCAATCCTTCCCCCCCACCACCACTATACCCTGCTGTGCTCTTGCCCCTGGCCTCTTCTTTCCCCAGGGAGGCCCTCAAATATGTTTGGCACCAGGCCCACAAAAAGTTGGGTAGTGATAGCGGTGGCCCCAGGCCCTTTAAATAGCCCCCTTTAAATTACCCCCGAACCCCAGGGCTCTCAGTTGCCTCTGCAGCTGGGAGCTCAGGGGGTTATTTAAAGGGCCCAGGGCTCCCAGCTGCTGCTCCCACAGCCCTAGCCCCAGGCCTTTTAAATCCTGATTTAAAGTGCCTGGGGATTTAAAGGCTCCACCTCTTCCAGTTGAGGCCCCGCTCCCTCATCAGGACTCCGGAATACCGGTAAGTCCTTTAAGTTACTTTCACCCCTGCTTACAGCCCCCCTTTAGCCAAGAGCGTTGGCTGGCAAAACATACTCTGTCGCTTGGGGCGAGGTGATCAGACCAGTCAGTGGCTTGTCAAACCGCCTTTAGGCGGGAACCAGAGACAGGGGAGGAAAGAGGGTGGAAGGGATGGGAGGGATCACACACTCCTAGACCTAGACAAGCCCCTTGCTGGTCATGAGCCCGGTCATGAGCCCACAGCTTCACAGGGCTCTCTGTGGGTCTTCCTGTGACTCACACTCACACTGGTCTTCCAACTCAATTCACACTGGCACACAGAACCAGATCTATCCACGACCTGCCCAGGTCTATCCACGACCTGCCCAGCCACCCTCAGTGGCTCTTCCTGGGGAAACCAAACCTGGATGGGACTTTAACCCACCCCAAGGGCACTAGGCATGTCTGGCAGCAAAAGTCCGGATGGAGCGTACAACTCACCCAAGCCCAGAGCCTATGGGCAGTCCTCCACCAGAAACCCAATATAGAGATTTCAAAAGGTCTCTTAGCTTTTTGGATGGGCCCGGGGTCTGGTGGGGAACAGTTCGCAGATCTCCAGCTCTCAGGGGTCACCATCTATCCGAGTCATAGCATCAAGATGTCTTGGAAAAATCACCACGCGTTGTGTTTGGTTCAGAACAAGCCTGAAGCCAGCTTTACTCAAGCATGCGCATACAGGGAGAGTCAGCCGGAGCTGCTGTGTCGTAAACAAGGCTTACTGAAGGATTGGGTGAACCAGGAGTCACTCAAGGAAATTAATAGACAGCAGGTTTAAAACAAAGAAAAGGAAGCACTACACACAACACCTCATTGCCCTTCCCTATTCCAATGTATCTTATTTAGAGATGGGGTGATCAGATCCACAAGCGGTATTCAAGATGTGGGCATACCATGGATTTATACAGAGGCAATATGATATATTCTGTCTTATGATCTATCCTTTTCCTAATGATTCCCAACATTCGGTTAGCTTTTTAGACTGCTGCTGGGCATTAAGTGGATGTTTTCAGAGAATTATCCACAATGATTCCAAGATCTCTTCCTTGAGTTGAAACAGCTAATTTAGACCCCATCATTTTACAGGTATAATTGAGATTATGTTTTCTAATGTGCATTAGTTTGGATTTCTCAACATTGAATGTAATCTGCCATTTTGTTGCCCTGGCACCCAGTTCTGTGGATCCCTTTGTAACTCTTCGTAGTCTGCTTTTGACTTAACTATCTCGAGTAGTTTAGCATCATCTGTAAACTTTCCCAACTCACTTTTTATGCCTTTTTCCAGATCGTTTATAAATTTGTTGAACAATTGTGATCCCAGTGTACTAACTGGTCCTGGTGTCTTGTTAGTGTTTAATTTATTCATCTGTTTCAAATCCTCTTCTAATGACAACTCAGTCTGGGAAAGTTCCTGAGATTTGTTACCTAAAGAGAATGTCTCAGGTTTGGGAATCTCCCTCACATCCTCTGTAGTGAAGACTGATGCTAGGTTGGGGTGTTCTTGTGCTGCCCTGCTGAAATGTCTTTAACATATTCAATATGTTCTAGCAATGGTAGAAATACTGGGTGGCTCCATAAGCATGGCTGGTTTTCAGTTGGCAGGTCAGGTCATGTGGGAGGTATCAAAGAGTGCCTCCTTCAGTACATCACCCTGGACCATCACCCAGACTGCCCATGTCAAAGGTTGGCCCTGGGTTTGATCCCCAGTCTCATCGTGATCACTTAGGAGAGTGGCTAGGGTGTCCCCACTCTGGGGCACTTTATCTGCACCAGTGGCTTCCCTGACACGCTGATCACTTAGTTACGTTCAAACCACATAGAATGGATAAAACTGCAACTGGACGAAAAATAAGGAACAAATAGGAGACTCCACAAACAGCTGTCTCTGGGGTGTAAGATTAGGTCACACTCTGTTTCTCATACATCACAGGCCTCTCTCCCAGGCTCTGGCTGTGCTGCGGTGATACCACAGGTAAGACACCTGTTCTGGTAGTGGCCACACTCCCTCAGGCTCTAGGTGGCAGGACCCTTCTTCCCAGCATCTGCCCTCCCATCGGGTTCACCTCCCCGCTTCTGACTCCAGCCTTCAAAGTCCTCCTGTCTAGAAACCTTTCCCTGTGCTGGGCCCTCTGCCCAATGTCCCACCTCGCTGTGCCCAGCAGCTCATTGCACTCAGCTGCTGTGTTACTTGGGGCATATTTGGCGTCCACTATCCTGGCTCTGTCTCTGTAGCTCCCTGTTCTAGCTCAGCGCTGACCCATAGATGCAGCTGGTCTGTGCTGCCCCAGCTCCTGGCTCTGGTCTGCTTCAGCTCCTCAGCTCTGCCTCAGCAATTGTGCTCTGGCTTTAGCCCAGCTTGGACTCTTCTGGGCTGCTTCTCTGGCATGGGGTGGCTGCCAAATTTTGACAGCATTAATAGCGGAAGGTCACTTAAAAACTAACCCAAAAGTAGCCCAATCTATTTATTGAAACATAAGTGGTTTTTTTTTAATTAACACATTGGTTTATATATTAAGTAACAAATGAAAGCTTTGATTAGATACCTAGTATAGATTTGCTTTTTTTTAAAAAAAAATACAACCCTACAAGCCCCAGCAGGAATTTTTCCACATTAGCAACAAAGCTATGAGATGACAATCAAAATCAAACCCCCAATACTGGTAATTGTATCCAGATTGAGGTTTGAAAAGATGTTTCAAACAAAAAACAGTGAATGACAGGGTTTAAAATAGCCACAAATGATCCCAAAATGTATGTAGTGCAAAAACAACACGAACAGTATAATATTATTGATTTCAAATTGAATCCAATTCTGGTGGTCAATGTCTATATTTTGCGTTGAATTAGTTGGCTACTGTTAGTCTCTAAAAGGCAACATTTCCTCCTCACAATCTTCATTGGAAGTAAAATGCTTCTGCTGCTGGTCATACAAATCCTCAATGACCTGTGTAATCATTACTTTTCTTGGTGCAAATTACTCACGACAGATTTGGTATTGTTTTATATATGCCCTAACAGGAAGAATATTTTCTAAAAGTTCATCTTGTGGCACAGTTTTGTTTTTATCAAGTTCATCTGAGAAGACAGTCTTTCAACTGCAGCATCGCTAAAAGGTAGCGACAACAACAAAAGAGCCAACAAACCAAGTTCACTGAGGTCTTTGTTCTCAGCGGCATCCGTGCATTCAAGAACTTCAACCCGAGACTGCTCAGCTTGGTTATCCTGTGTATAAGGCCAGTGAATCATGAGCAAAACTCTTCCCTGCTCCTCCAACAGTGCAAGGTCTCCACAAAACATGGTAAAAATGGAATATCAGCAAATCTAGGTCATGCAGGGCTAAGCGTAGTAGAAGGACTTCGTACTGAAAGAGATTCAATCACCTGGCAGTCTCAGTTTCATGTGTTTCACAAACTCCAACGTGAAATCTCGACACCTACTTTTGACGTCTTTGACAATGTGACTGGTTAGTGTGTATTTTGAGGGTTCCAGATGAAAATTGACTGCACAAAGTGGTAAGTAATGTGACTCAAAGGTGATGTCATAGTTTAACAGAACAGTCCCATTCTTGAAAACACAAGCTCTTATAAAATGACTTTAATTCCTGCAGCAGCTTTCCTGTATTATCACTTTCCAATTAAAATATTTGGTTTTGTCCTCCAGACTTCCTGGAAATCAGACTAATTTTGTTCACCAGATCACTGTACATATGATTCTTAGGCGCGCGAGTGCCAATGTAGGACCCAGGCCTGTATTTCCGCCTGAGGTAGTATTTTTGGGTTATGCTTGCATGTTTGTCCTTTGTTCACACATGTTAGGAAGAATGCATGTGTATCCAAAAATCAAAGACATTGTGTATGTTGCGTAGCCAGTGGGGGTGATAAGATGGGAACAGATAAGAGCAGTTAAAACGTTACTGGAATGCACACTTTAAGATTGCCTCAACCCCAATCGCAAGGCAAGGCCAAAAAACCAGTCAGGAGGGGCAAAAGGGGATCTGATCAAGAATTCTGTTCACACAGGCACTAATGGATGGTGATGGTCAGAGAGAGGGACCTCAGCAATGGAGAGAGCAGTGCTTGGTGATGGAGTGATAAGACATTAGGTGTGAGAAACTTCTCAGACTCTGAACTTCCACAATGCTGAGCTCAGCCAAACTGGGACAGAGCGCCCTTGATTAAAGAAGAGATGTCCTTTCTTCCTCTCGTCACACAGGTTTAAAATCAGTGGCCCCCGGCAATCACATTCTGCAGGTGTATTTGCCCACTTTGTCACGAAGCTCTTTGGTTTTCACCGCATAAATGATAGGGTTGAGCATGGGGGGGATGAGGAAATAGAGGTTGGCCATGATGATCTGAATGTGGGGAGCAATTCCCTGACCGAATCGGTGTGTCAGGTTGGAGAAGAGGAAGGGAGTATAAGACAATAGCATCACACAGATGTGGGCTGTGCAGGTGTTGAGGGCTTTCTGGTGAGCTTTCTTGGAGGAGATTCTGAGGACAGCCCTCATGATCAGACTGTAGGATAGGGCAATGAGCGTCAAGTCTAACCCGATGACTATAAGTGCTATCACCAAGCCATGGATCCTATAGACTGTGATGTCCCCACATGATATCTTTGCCACAGCTATAGGTTCGCAGTATGTGTGGGGGATGATGTGGTTGGCACAGAATGGAAGCCTGCTCAGGAGCAGGGGCGTGGGCAGAACGAAGAGAACAGCTCTTATCAAACACATGAGCCCTAGCTTAGCTATTCGTATGTTGGTGAGGATGGTGGCGTATCTCAGAGGGTTACATATGGCAAGATAGCGATCAAAGGCCATTGTCACAAGGATGGCTGAGTGCATAGCAGAAACCGCGTGAAGGAAGAACATCTGGGTGAGGCAACCATGCACCGTAATCCCTTTAAAATTGAACCAAAATATACACAGTGCCTTTGGCGTGACGGAGGTAGACGTGATGATGTCTGTGAGTGCCAGCATGCAAAGCAGCAGGTACATCGGTTTGTGCAACGTCTGCTCTTTGCCTACAACAAACAGAACCATGAAATTTCCCAACAGGCTGATAATGTAGAACATAGAGAAAGGGATGGATATCCAAATGTAAGCAGCTTCCAGGCCAGGGATGCCCATTAGGATGAATGTTGAAGGGTCAGAGAGGGTGAAATTGAAAGCTGCCATGAGGTGGTCGATGAATCAATCTGGCTCAGAAATGCTCAAGGTGCCTGTGGGGAGAGGGAAGCACAGCATGAGGTGTGTGTGTGGTGGGGTTACACACTTCTTAACAAATAGAATAGTAAATATTTTATAGTTATTACCAATCTAGAAAGGGGGATGAGCAATGAGGTGGCAATGAGGTGGGGGGGAGGGATAGCTCAAGGGTTTGAGCATTGGCCTGCTAAACCCAGGGTTGTGAGTTCAATCCTTGAGGGGGCCATTTAGGGATCTGGGGCAAAAATTGGTGATTGGTCCTGCTTTGAGCAGGGGGGTTGGACTAGATGGCCTCCTGAGGTCCCTTCCAACCTTGATATTCTATGATTTTATGATTTACAGATGAACTTGGATGTCAATAACATCAACCTGTCTGTCCATTGGAGTGGAAAGCTTGTCTCCTCAAACAGCTAATAAGGTTCTAATTTAACTGTATGAACTCAGGACAGGAACCTGGGCGTCATTGTGCACAGCTCTGTGAAACCCTGCTCACAGTGCAAGCACAGACAGAAACTAAGCAAAACCTTGGGTTCCAGGAAGAGTGGGATGGGGAATCATTCAATGCCATGAGATCAGTCAATCAATGTCTCATCCTTCCCTAGACTTCTCTGTGCACTACTGAGCATCTTTCTCAAACAGAATAGTGCAGAACCAGAGCAGTTCAGGGAAGGGCAGCAAGAATGATCAAGGGCCTGGCCAAACTATCGTATGTAGTGGGAGATGAATAAGAGGGGATATGAGAAAAGTCTATTACCAACTAGTAGACAGTACATGGAAAATGTGTTCTCCGTGTCTCATAACACAACGTCAAGTGAACATTCAATGCAACTGAATTGTGACAAATTCAAAACAGATAAAAAAAGAATGCTTTCTTCACTCAGTGTCTAATTAGACTGAAGAACTCATTGCCACAAGAGGTAGTTGAGGCCATGAGCTAAGTAAGGATCAGGAATGATTTGGACATTTACATGGATAATGAGATGATCCAGTTACAAAACTTATAGGTAAATAAACATTTTGGAAAGCTTATACACCCATGTCTTTCAGGGCACAAACCCATCTCTAGCTGTTGGCATTAGGGTGACACCCTCATGCCAGTCAGGTCATCTCCCACCCCATCCACCCCTGCTCGGTTTCTTACACCTTCTTCTGCAGCACCTGGGGCTGTCACTGTCAGAAAGAAGACACTGGACTAGATGGACCATTGGTCTGATCCACTATGCTATTCCTGTGTTGGAAAGGAGACAAGTTTCCCCCATGAAAACAGACATTATCATGGTGGGATACGAATTTGTGTTCAACAGAATGGGCAATAGGGGCACAAAGGTCTTGGTATTTAGGTCTACAGGCTAGCACCTCTGTTGCTTCCCTTGTTAATTTTGGTGAGACATTTTCTTGCAGGCACCAAGCTCTGTCTGAGACATAATTTACAGGTGTTAACTGACAGGTGTAAGCAGAGAAAGGTGTCAGCAACTCAGCTGCTAACCCTTCTCATTCCTGAATTTTGATAAATTTTGCAGATGACACAAAAATTGGGGATCGTAAGTAATGAAGAAGATGGGTCACTGATTTAGCGCAATCTCGAGTGCTTGGTAAACTAGGTGAAAGCAAAGAAAGTGTGTTGTAATGTAGCTATGGTGTCCAGCCCATACAGACAGGGAGTCAGGAAAGGTCCCAGCACTGGCCGTGGATCAACAATCACTAAGAAAAAATATAATTTCAGCAGCGCTTCGAACCTCTCCATGTATGCCCTCTTGTCTGCTCCTCAACCTCCAGCCCTGCTTTCCTGTCCATGTACACTGGGGTGGGCAAAAGTTTTGGCCGGAAGGCCTCATCTGCGTTGGGAAATTTCTTGCATGGCCGTGAATGTACAGGTGGGGCAAGGGTGTGGGGTGTGGGCAGGAGTGCGGGGTATGGGAGGGGCTCAGGGCAGGGGTTTGGGGTGAAGTAGGGGGTGCAGAGTGGAGGAGGGAGCTCAGGGCAGGGAGATGGGGGCTCAGGGCAGGGGGTTTGGGTGCAGGAGGGCTGCAGGGTGCAGCAGGCAGCTCAGGACAGAGAGTTAGGTTGTGGGGTGTAGGAGGGGTTTGGGGTGTCAGCTCTTGGCTGGTGCCACTCACCTGGAGCAGCTCCAAGGTGACAGCAGCACAGATTGGGGCCAGGGTTCCCTGTTCCTTGCCAATGGGAGCTGCGGGGGGCGGTGCCTGCAGGTGAGGGCAGCTCTTGGAGCCCTCTGACCCCCTGACCCAGGGGCCACAAGGACGTGGTGCCGGCTGTCTCTAGAAGCGGTGTGGGGCACGCGGCACCACGGCTGTGGCAATCCCATTGGTTGGATCTGGCCTGCGGGTCGTAGTTTGCCCACCCCTGGTGTGCACCCTGCTCCCTGCCCCCACAACCTCCAGCCCTGATCGACTGTCCCTGTACACCCCCTGTTTATCCCGCAACCCTCAATTCTCCCTGCTTCTCGGTGTACACCTCCTTCCCTGCCCCCACAACCTCCAGCACTGCCTGCTTCTCTGTGTACACACCACTCCATGCCTCCACAACCCCCAGCCCTGCCTGCCTCTCTGTGTGCATGCTAATCCCTGCCCCCACAACCCCCAGAGTCTATCCGCCAGTCCATGTACACCCCCTGCCTGCCCCCAGCAGCCCCAGCGCTGCCAGCTTATCAGTGTACACCGCCTGCCCCATCCACAATCCTCAGTGCTGCCCGCCTGTCAATACACACCCCACTCCCTGCCTCCAGAACGCCCAGTACTGGCCGCCTGTCCATGTAGGCACCCCACGTAGAGAATGTCCAGCCCTGCCACACCGTGATATCCCTCACCCAGGACCAAAACCCGGTGCCAGACCCCACAGCGACATTTCACAGAAATACTTCCTCAGACTAGGTTAAACTCAGTGTCTTCTTGCTGCAGGGAAAAAGGGGAGATCAGCCTGAACTGCCTTTCTGGGGGTGAAGGGAACCCCAGCAGGAGCTCAGCCTGTGCAGGGAAGGAGAGAGGGACAGAACCAGCGGGAGGGAGCCAGGACGTGGAGACTAAAAAGAGCCAGCGTGAGTAACTCTTCCTCACAACTAAGCAAGCTTTAACGTATTGCAGCCTGTTAGAAACCTAGACATACCTTCCTGAGGCTGCTTTTCCATGTTGGCAATTGCTGACATTGCCAGGAGGCTGTAGTGGGATTGCTCAAGGGAGGAGGGATGATCTGGATGGGGGATGTGTCAGAGACAATTTGCTACATTATGATCCACATTCCAGTACAGTCTGAGACAAACCCCTTCCCCATGAGGTCTCATTACACCTCTTTGGTCTGTGCATTAGGCAGGATGTCCATGCCATATTTCACCTAGTTTCAGGACTTCATGCCATTGTGATCCGGATACTGCATCTTTGTTCCTCCTCCACAGTACACAGAGACACACTATGCATTCCTGAGCCTCCCGCAGTGAGATTTGAAACACCACCTGCTTTCCTCTAAGAAAGAAATATGCTTTTATTTTAGCTGCCTTTTTGTGCTTCTTATGCTCTCCAGAACTAGAAATGCAGGGGTACAGAGAGAGCAGACCTCTATCCCCACACCCCGCAAACATATTGTTATCCTAATTGTTTTGAACCTCAAAGTCTGTGAATTTGAGATTTCAGCAACTCTCCTGTCAGTTCTTTGGTCTAAATGACCTAACCCATTCTTAGAGGCCACAGGACGAGTCCAGTTGAAGTCACTGGAGGCTCCTGGCCAGTGGAAATCAGGCCATTCGTTTAAATCCCTCCATGTGGATTTAGGGTGAACTCCTGGCCGTGTTCAGAGTTTTGCCATTGTTCTCAATGGGACCAAGATTTCACCCTCAGTGTTTTATTTTCAAAAAGAAAAGGAGTACTTGTGGCACCTTAGAGACTAACCAATTTATTTGAGCATGAGCTTTCGTGAGCTACAGCTCACTTCATCAGATGTATACCGTGGAAACTGCAGCAGACTTTATATACACACAGAGAATATGAAACAATACCTCCTCCCACCCCACTGTCCTGCTGGTAATAGCTTATCTAAAGTGATCAACAGGTGGGCCATTTCCAGCACAAATCCAGGTTTTCTCACCCTCCACCCCCCCACACAAATTCACTCTCCTGCTGGTGCTAGCCCATCCAAAGTGACAACTCTTTACATAATCAAGTCGGGCTATTTCCTGCATAGATCCAGGTTTTCTCACATCCCCCCCCACCCCCATACACACACAAACTCACTCTCCTGCTGGTATTATTTTCGGCTTCCTGCTGTGAAAATCATGGTTTCAGGTCCTGCTACAGAGAGCGCTGTTCTGTTAGGGTGCTGAAACTAGGAATCCCCTTGTTTATGTGGCATTCTGATACCAGGCACGAAGGATGGCGATTTCAAAACATGTGGGGTCTCATTTTGCTCTCAGGGAGGCCAGTGTCAATCTGGAGTGACCCACTGAAGGCAGAATGTGAGAGCAGTATCTGGATAGTGGGCAACACATTCTTGTTGGGAACCCTCTGGTAAGAAGAGATACCCACTGAAAAGGCTTTGGCTTTTACCTCTTAACAGGGCAGTGAAGTTGCTGAATTGGAACAATTCAGCAAACCAGAGGAAAAACCACACCTCCCAACAACGGAAGCTACTGAGACAGATATAAGGACACAGTAAGAGATAAGGTTCAGAGTAGCAGCCGTGTTAGTCTGTATTCGCAAAAAGAAAAGGAGTACTAGTGGCACCTTAGAGACTAACCAATTTATTTGAGCATAAGCTTTCGTGAGCTACAGCTCACTTCATCGAATGCATTCAGTGGAAAATACAGTGAGGAGATTTATATACACACAGAACATGAAAAAATGGGTGTTATCATACACACTGTAAGGAGAGTGATCACTGAAGATGAGCTATTACCAGCAGGAGAGCGGGGAGGTGAAAACAAAGCTTCCTCAGCTCTCGTCCCCTAATGCCCCTACTCTACTTGC